CAGAGGCACCTAGTACAAATCAAACAGGAGAATTTAGCTTTTAAATAGCTGAGTGATTAGCTTGTGACTGGTCACAGAAATGGCTATGTTAAAGTCAAAGCCTACACATCCACAGAGGCATCTAGTATAAATCATCGTGTTATTTTATTTTATTAATTTATTATTTTATCCTCATTCTACGTGACTTTACCGAAAGAACCAAAGAAGATGAATCCTTGCAGTCACAAAAGCTTGAAATCGAAATCTAGTTTAGTTAGTCAGCCTCGACCAGGAATTGAACTCCAGAAAAGCTGGGTTCATCGTGCAGTGCTATAACCACATCTCCATCGCACCGTGCCTGGGCTAAACGGCAAGGGCAATTGGTAGTTCACGCGGCCACTCGTAACCAAGCCAAGTCTGGGATTCCAGGAGCCAGATGGTTGGTCTCCCACGGACGGGAAGATCCAGGGGCACGAGGAAGGGGCGAGCCTCTGAGCTGTTACGGAGCCAAAGTCGGGCCGATACCAAACCCTGTGTGCGGGTCGCTCTGTGCCGCCGATTTTTACCCACAAGTCTCTGCTTTCCACGGACACCCGAGGTTCAACAGCGGATTATAACAGGCACTGCTTAAATACATAAACAACTGCATGCACAGACCTGTAAGCGCAATACGATGTGGATTTACATAGCGAATAGACGCGACTGCGTAACAAGACACTGCGCAGAAATCGAGAGAAGATGTATATATATAAGAGAGACGAACAACGCGCACGTCCTCTGGACGTGTCCCTCCCTCCCCTCCCTTCCTCCAGGCGCCCAGTCAGCCAGGCAGCCAGGCAGCTCGGCAGCCAGCCAAACCTTGTGAAAATATACTATACCTGTCTTCAGAACGAGGCAGTTCGGTTACAGGCAGAGGTGTGGGAGGAGGGAGGAGGGGGGGGGGTAGGCATTGAGCGTGGTTATTTAACAGACAGGGGCAGGAAGTCGACAGCACGGACAGCAGGTGGAAGGCAGCTCGCCACTCTGGCGACAGCAGAGGGGAAATTACGAGTTTAGCCTCGAACAGGGGCGGTCCTAATGGAATGCGAACGTCAAATAAAATCTCAGACGAGACGACCCGGCTCACGAGCCCAGAAAATATGAACAGGGCTGACACTGACGCGAGCGAGAGATAGAGAGAGGAGGAGGAAGAGCGAGGCCGTGATCGCAGGGCGTGCCCACGCTGGGGATCACCACGCGCTGCTGCAGTGCGCCGCGGAGAGGGGGAGCTGGGTGGGCGAGACGCGATACGCAAACATCCCTGGCGTCTGGGACTTCTCAAAGTCAGAGTCGAGTCCAGAGAATTCTTATTTGGGTGGCGAGGGGAGGCGAGAAGGCGTCTGACTGAGTGATTGCCTTCAGTCTGCTCTCTATCTCTCTCTCTCTCTCTGTCTCGAAAGCGCGCTTCGCCCTGCGCGTGAACATTTACGAGAGAGTCGAGTAAACGGGAGCACCACGAGAGAGTCGATCGGCAGGTCTCGTGTTGGCCTGCGTAGAAGAGTAGACCGAACACCCTCCAGACCGTACGCAAAAAATGTCAGTAAGTACTGCAATGATTATATTCATTCAGGAGAGTTTCACTCAATCGCGTGACTCATCCTCAGGACGGTCCAGCACTGGGATATTTGAGACAATGCTGGCTTGCTCCACGGGGCAGCAGACTGGATGATCCCAATAATGCCGTGACTCACACGAGGTCCGCGCAGACGGGTTCACGGTCCACAATGCGATTCCGCTGCCATCGCGTTGCCACGTAGCAGCAACCCACGCGGGGTTTGGCGAATTTTAACAAATCCGTTCGCGATCCACCAACCCTTTCGCCTCCAAGCGTGCGACATTAAAAACGCCCACTACAGGGCACAAACGTTTCCCCGTCCAGATCGCGAACGCGTGTCAGCTTCCCACAGAAGGACGGTGGCGGGATCCTCCATGGGAAAAGTGGTAAGACTCAGTTATGAGCTCCTGATGTATAATAAACTATGAACTGAACGATTTTTAGTTTAACGGGTAAGGCCGATTGACCTATATGACTCTCTTTCAGAAGCGAACTGGCCATCACAATTACTGCTCAACGAAATGGCTTATCACGTGGAAACTTAGAGCAGCCAAATACTCTAAACGCGTGATGTTGATTCTAAATGTGGAGGGGGAAAAAAAAGCGGAGGACCCCGAGAAAAATCCACGCGACCACGGGGAGAGAGACACGCAATCCCCAAATATACAGCAGGCGTCAGAGTCGGGATTGAACCCAGGACCTCCTGCATACCAGGCGAGGAAGGTAACATCTCGCCACCACGGCGCCTTACGTTACGTTAGCATAGTTATCAGAGTCCGATAGAATTCACATTCATCGATTCTTTAATCGTGACCCAGAATCTTACCAATTCAGCTAATTACCGGAAGAGTTAATCACCGGCACCGATTCCTGCAGAGTTTTCGATCTCGGTACAGTTGCGAAGCGCAGGGCTTGCAGCCAAATAAGGCAAAGCGATATCGCCACGGACAGCACATCAGACACAGCGCAGCAGACGCACAGCAAAGGCATCGTACCACAGACGTAGGTCACCAACAACTACAGCGTCCCGTTTCGCCGCTAAGTGGCGCTGACGCCACCACGGCGCTTTTGCCAGGCAAGGTGCACTTCGAGGCCACGTGAAGTGTCTGTCGAAGGCTCGCTGGACATGTGCCAATGACTTGACGCGACGAAGATGACCGGCAAGAGAAAGACAAAGATCCCACGTATAGCCTGTGACAGACTGTTGGGGCAAGTGCTGTTAGCGAGTAGCACCCATGAAGGCCAGAACCGCGCAACAAGAGGGTGGGTGGCCAGCACCACGCCCGGCCGCCTTTGTCTCCCCAATGGTGATGCTTATACAGCGCACCAGGTGCTAATATGATGCTGAGTCGACCTAGGGGAGGCCCGGGACCGGTTCAAATAATCCTCACTGGTGTTGGCCGTGAGCGGGAATCGAACTCGGGTCGCCAGGATCGTAGCGCAGCGTGCTAACATATGCCTACTATGGCAAGACAAAGACAAAGACCCCCCCCCATATAGCCTTAACAGACCGTAGGGGCAAGTGCTGTTAGCGAGCACATATGAAGGCCGGCACGGAAAACGAGGGGGTGGGTGGCCAGCACCACGCCCGACCGCCTTTGTCTCCCTAGAGGCAATGTTTACACACCGCACCAGGTACTCATTTGAGGCTGAGGCGACCTAGGGGAGGCCCGGGAACGGTTCAAATAATCGTCACTGGTGTTGGCCGTGAGCGGGAATCGAACTCGAGTCGTCGGGTTCATAGCACAGCGCGCTAACAGCTACACAGACAGTGCAGAAGACACGGTATAGCATAGAATAACATAGTGCAGTAGACACGGTACAGAATAGAATAACATAGTGCAGTAGACACGGTATAGCATAGTATAGCATAGTGCAGTAGACACGGTATAGCATAGTATAGCATAGTGCAGTAGCCACGGTATAGCATAGTATAGCATAGTGCAGTAGCCACGGTATAGCATAGAATAGCATAGTGCAGTAGACACGGTACAGAATAGAATAGCATAGTGCAGTAGACACGGTATAGCATAGTATAGCATAGTGCAGTAGACACGGTATAGCATAGTATAGCATAGTGCAGTAGACACGGTATAGCATAGTATAGCATAGTGCAGTAGACACGGTATAGCATAGTATAGCATAGTGCAGTAGACACGGTATAGCATAGAATAGCATAGTGCAGTAGACACGGTATAGCATAGTATAGCATAGTGCAGTAGACACGGTATAGCATAGAATAGCATAGTGCAGTAGACACGGTACAGCATAGTATAGAAGAGGACAGCCGACACGATACAGAAGACACGATAGTGACACAGTGGTTCGCTCACAGCGTTATCATGAATCTAGCTACCCAAGTTCTTCCAAATTGACCAATCCGCACTCACCAGCGTAGTGAAGTATGGTCAAACAGCCCCCTACCCCCCCTCCCACCACCCCATGACCGACACGGCACGGGGAGGGCTTCATCCAGCAGTGGATTCACACGGGAATGGTGCAATCGGAGCTTGTCAACAAAAAAAAATGAGAGACGATGATAGGGGAGGGAGAGGAGTGGGGGTGTCGCGCGTTGCGTACGCGGTGGTGGAAGTCGAGTCGGTTCAAGCAGCCGGGGACGCCGAGGTGCGAGCAGGAGGAGAAACACAGTTTGCGACACGACTCGAGCGCGGCATTGACCAGTGGGAAGCGGGTCAATGTCCACGGCATTTGCGATGGCGTCGAGACGTTCAATCGATGAGAACGGCAGCGATTAAAGAGTGACAAGGACGCGCAGCGCGGTGCTTCGTTTGTGTTGCGGAACAAAGGGTAAAGGCGCAGCCCTGCGATGTCTCGCTCACACCCCTGCTAGCGGAAGAGTCCTCCAGTAGAGAGGGCTCTGCATGGAGAGCTTCCCCTCGACTGCACTTTGGCACAGTCGTCTATAATGAACGAACCTCTTGCAAAGAGGTTGGACTCGGTGTGCATGTATGTTGAACTTATTTCGCACCGTACGTTAGCCAACACGTTACCCCGATCGCACGCAACTCGCCGATCGGCCGACTAACTGTGGTGAACTTATTTCTACCGGTTGATAAAGGCGGAGGGAGCGGGGAGGGGAAGGAGCGGGGGGGGGGGTTCAAGAAACTCGCACCATTGTTTCACCTGCCGCGCCAAGAGATAAAATCGAACCGGTGACCGGTGTGCTATCGATCTCACCGCGGGAGCAGCAGCAGCAGGAGCGTCATCTGTTCAGAAGCAGAACAGTCATTTATACCGCAGAAATCCGATGAGCTATGAAGCTCTTTTTCCACCGATGTCCAGTCGGGGCAGGTCAGAACGTTACAACGACAAACGATACAAAAACAAACACACGTGAGGTCTGTTCATGCAACAAGAACCGAAACTACTTTATCGAGCCGAATATTTGTTGGGCGCGTGTCCGTACCGTGCTCTCGAGTGGCGTTCCACTCGTGGCGCAGCTGCTCGAGACACGACTCCTTGGCCAGCTCCAGCATCACCATCGTCTCGCACTCGGGGTACATGGCGACTGCTGCGGTGGGGTGTGGGGAGACACCGCAACCGCTACCGGGATGGTGAGCGGAGCGTGGCGCGCGGAGCGGAATAGCTGAGCGGGCAGTGCGGACAACGGATGATGGTGGCGCTGATGGTGGTGGTGGTGGTGGTGGTCATAAATTATGATTATTATGATGATAATGATGATTGTGAGAAGGAGCAGAGAGCACTAGGAACCACAGATGATGGCGATGGTGACGATGTGATTTCTTTACGGCTCAGAAAACTCAGAGCAGATATCACTCAGGAGCGCAGATAATGATGATTGTGAGAAGGAGCAGAGAGCACTAGTAACCACAGATGACGGCGATGGTGACGATGTGATTTCTTCACGGCTCAGAAAACTCAGAGCAGATAGCACTCAGGAGCGCAGAAAATGATGGTGATGATGGTGGTGAGAAAGAGCAGAGAGCACAAGGAATCGCAGATGATGGCGATGACAGCGACGATGATGATGTGATCTTCTTACGGCTGATGTTGATGTTAAGCAACAGCTGTTATTTTACATGGAGGTGGTTGACCCAGACGATTGCGTCCGGAATAGAGGAATGCATCTCTGTGATGATGCCTACTTCATTTAGATCTCTACGTGAGTCTATGTGTCGCTCTGTGCGAGTCTTCGAGTCTCAGTGTGACTCTATGGATCTATGTCTTTCTTTTTTGTGTGACGGATGAGCAACAGGTGCAATTTACAGGAAGGGAGGGAGTTGAGCCGGATAATTGCGTCACGGGTAGCGGAGCGGTGAATCGTCGCTGTGACGATGCCTTATTCGCATTTGTGTCGGTGAACACAGTCGCATGCAGGACAGTTTTTAATTATCCATTTTTGCAGCAGCAGCAGCAGCATCATCATGAATAAGTATCCGTATCATCATCACCAGGTATCCACATCATCAAGTTATTCGCATCATCATCACCAAGTATCTACATTATCATCACCAAGTATCCGCATCGTCATTATAATCAAGTATCCGTATCATCATCATCATCAAGTCTCTTCATCATCATCATCAAGTATCCAAATCACAATCAGGCATCCGCATCTGCTGCTTCTACCATGGTTTGTGCAGTGGATGCGGTCCAGGGCTGTGGCCCAGCAGCCTGGCTATGATGATAACGATGCATGTGTGTTGAGGTTGTTTCGCACCCTACATAGCCAACCGTGCTAATCGGAGGTGTAGATGAAGGCAAACAAACCCAAGACAAAAAGCAGTCCTAAAGATATGAGTTGTCAATCCATATTTAAAAAAATGATGATCATAGGGCACACAGAAGCGCAGATGAAGATAACGGCTATGATATTGAACACACAATTACATTAATTATTACTATTATTACGCTTATTTCACCAGGAAAGCCTCGCCGAGACTCATGACTCTATTTGAAGATGGTATAGCCAAATAGTAGATGGTGATGATGATCTTTTAAAAGGTTGTCATAATCATGTTTATTCGCCATGTAAATAATGCTACGTGTTGCCATCTATGGGTTATGCAGCGCTACGGGCAGACGCAATTGATGCTTTTGCTAATAATACTTGAGCCGACAGATGATAACATAGCTGATGGTGATTTTGACAGTAGCACGGGGTATAGCAGACGATTATGATGAATTTGATCCATTGAAAAGGTTATCGCGTCATTCCTAATAGTGGCCATATACAAACGGTACGAATGACATTTCGTCAGCTCAGAGGGAAATGATAGAGAGCAGTAGATGATGGTGAGAAAGAATGATGACACTGAGAAAGAATGATGAAATGATGATGATGGTGATCATGTTGAGCAGGCATAACAGCAGATGATGATCACGGTAGTTATCATATGGCCACGACGACGATGATGTTCAAAGTACGCGGAACAGCTGATGATGATGACTATGAGCAGCAGCGCGCGTGACGCATGGCAGTACAGATAAGCAGAGTGCGCACAGACCAACGGAGTGACCGTGGGGGGCACGCGCGGAGCAGTACGCACGAGAAAGCAGTACACATTAGAGAACACGCATGGTCATGGTGACGATGACAATAGCCGTCACGGTGACGATGATCGTATCGCCATATCGCAAGAAAACACTCACCTCGGCAGCGCACTCGGCTCTCCCCGTGTCTCGCTCCTCTCCACGGGTACCGCTCCTCTCCACGGGTACCGATTCTCTCCACGCGCACCGATTCTGCACACGCGTTCAGATTATCTCCACGGGTACCACTTTTCTCGCCGTCTATCTTTCGCCTCCACGCGTATCGCTCCCGCCGTGTACACAGCTAACCGAGTTCACCTCCCCCCTCCCCGTGCACCACTCCCCTAGTTCATCACTATCCGATTTCAACTGCGCCCTTCCTTCATCGCTCCTCACTCTCCATATCTCAGCCCGATTACCACTCCCCCAGCCGCTCGCGCGCCACTCCCTTTAAACACCACGGAAGAGCGTTCGCCGCTCACCACTCCGCGTCACTCCCAACCTGGTCCACCACTCCCCCCCCCCGCCCCCTAGTTCATCACTCTCCGTCAGCACGACTCCGTCTCTCTCCACGCGCGCGCCGCTCCCCCTCCACGTGTTCCACTGCTCACGTCCACCACCACTACTCCCCCGACACCACTCGATCGACGCGCGCCACCACTCTCAGTAAACACCACGATCCTAATTCACCCTCCCCCACACTCTCTCTCTCTCTCTCCCCACCGCGCTCTCTCTCTCTCTCCCCTAGCACTACTTCCCCTCCGCGTTCACCGCTCTACTCGAGCACCACTCTCGCTCAAATGACGCTCACTCTCCGCCAGCCAGCCAGCCAGCCCGTCCGCCCGCCCGCCGGGGTTCACAGTCGGCCCAGCTGATCTCACGAGCGGTGTGGAGGGAGCGGCATGGACGCTGACACCGGAGACCGTTCCGAGCGCGCTCGACTTTCCCGAGGAGAGAGGTGGGGGGGGTGGTGGTGGTGGTGGGGGGGAGTGAAGGAGACGGGGGAGGGATCGAGATGAAATGCAAGAAGGAATACGAATGGAGAACGATGATGATGATGATGAAATGAAGGGGACGATAGGAATTATGATGGAGATGTGGGGAGAAGTTGGAGAGCGGTGGGGACGTTGTTGAGTGAACGACAGAGAAGGGAGCGTGGATTGAGAGCGCTCGATGTGTATTCGTGAGCAGAGAGACGCACAGATGGAGAGATATACGAAGAGACGGGCGGGAAGAGAAACAGACGGGGGGACAGACACACACACACACATATATATATGCATAGATACACACATGGGGAAGCACAAATCGATACAGAGGGAGAGAGATAGGTGCACTGACTTAGTGAAATATATTTGGAGAGAAACACGCGGTGAGCAGCGAGCCGCCGCCTGTCCTGGCGCTCACGACATCGGTTGCGTTTTCAAGATTCTCAGGGAAACAACGCGCGGGGCGCGGGATCCCGGACCCCCGGGAGTGCAAGGTGTACAGAGCGGTCAGCCTCGTCAAATCTATCGGTCTCCCTCGCCCCCTCTCGCCATCCCCCCCTCCCCCGTCATCCCTCCCTCCCCCTCTCACCATCCCTCCCCCCCCTCTCTCGTCATCCCTCCCTTCCCCTCTCGCCATCCCCCCCTCTCGTCATTCCTTCCTCCCATTCTCCCTCTCGCCATCCCTCCCTCACCCCCTCGCCATCCCTCCCCCCTCTCGCCATCCCTCCCTCCCCCCACTCGCCATCCCCCCCTCCCTCTCGTCATCCCTCCCTCCCCCTCTCGCCATCCCTCCCTCCCTCCCCCCACTCGCCATCCCTCCCTCCCCCTCTCGCCATCCCTCCCTCCCTCCCCCCTCTCGCCATCCCTCCCTCCCTCCCCCCTCTCGCCATCCCTCCCTCCCTCCCCCTCTCGCCATCCCTTCCTCCCCCCTCTCGTCATCCCTCCCTCCCTCCCTTAATTAAACCATTAATCTCTTCCCCCTGTATCTTCATCTTCCTCCCTCCGTCCACCCACTCCACCCCCACCGCCCTGCGACTCTCCCTCCCTCTCACCACTGAGTGTGGGGCTCAGTGATGTTTCAGACACTGTGGGAGCTATTGTATGTTCCGTATGCACGTCGAACTTTTATCGCACCGTACGCAGCCAACGGTGCTAATCGGCGGTTACGGGGGAAGGCCAACAAACTAAACCCCAAACAATCAGTTCTAAAGAAAATGAGTTTTACAATTTAGATTTACAAGTGCATAGCTCCAACGGATTACGAATATCGGAATCCTAAAACTCAGCTACAGTCTATTATTGTTGTTGTATTATTGAAAGGATCAGCAACAGCGAATTGTCACAATATCATACAATCGCGGCGAGGTCGAATCGAGAGTATCCCCCTCCTGCTCTCCATGGCTTCTATGCCCACTTAAGCCCAACGCGACCCTAAGGGGGTGGAGGGGGTATGAGAGGGGGGGGTAGAGGGCGGGGTGGGGGCAGATGCGGAGTGCCGAGACGCGATGGCCAGGGTGTTGTGACAGAGAAGGGTTGATGAGTGGCGCTGCTGAAGAAGGGTCGTTTCCCGAAACGTTACCTATGACACGTTGTCCCTATTAGCGGCGGCAGTGTTATTGACGAATGTCTTCAAAGGTGTTGTCACGCGTGCGTTTGTACCACCGCTTCTTCCGCAGCAGCAGCAACAGCAGCATCATCAAACGATTTGTGGAGCTGGTGTTTGTTTTCCAGTGCGATCCCCCCCCACCCACCCACCCACCACCCCTCCCACCACTTCAACCCACCCACTCCCCCCCCCCTCCTCATCCGTTCTCGTTCAGTTGCAGGTCGCCTCTCGTTCGTGACGCTGGGATCGAGGCGCCCAGTCGCCTCCTCCTCGACGCCCGGCTCCAAGGTTAATCAAGCGTTTGGGACATTGAGCGTCGAGGAATGGGGCGATTACATAATTTGCTAGCATTATATCATTACTCTACTCGCCCGGTCAATTAGGCAGACAAAATGGAAATATTCAATTAAGTAAAATCGCAATTACACCTCCTGCCTGTACGCCGGTATTTCGCTGGGTTTTTTTTATTGGCAGTGCGCTGTCGTGTTTTTACCAGGTGAAGCCATATATGCCATACAGCTATTTTTCAGAAGCAACCTGACCCCACAAATGATAGCTCAAGCAAGTGGCGTATCACGTGGAAATGGAAAGCAGGAGCCAAATACTCTAAACACGTGTTGTTGATTCTAACTGTGGAGGCAAAAATCCAGAGGATCCGGAGAAAAATCCACGCGACCACGGGGAGAAAGAAATGCAAACTCCAAATATACAGCAGTAGGCGTAAGGGTCGGGATCGAACCCACGACTTCCTGTGTCACAGGCGAGGTAGTTAACATCTCATAGCCACCGTGGCGAATATCTCGCCTCTCAGAGAGCCAATCGGAACCTACCTATCTCTCACATAGTAGGTAGCACCAAGAGGAGGAGGTTAAGCAGGTGGTTGCGAAACGAGTTATCGAGCCGGCGGATAAAAGAGTCGGGGGCGAGGGTCGGGGGCTGCAGCGTGACTGGGGGGGGGGGGGTTGAGGGTAGGGGTTGTAGTGGGGAGGAGGGGGTTCACGTTTAAACACTTCCAGTGAACTGGTCCTAATGGGCTGCTGTGGAGGGGGCTGCTATGATGAGGGCTGCTGTGGAGGGCGCTGTTGTGGAGGGGGCTGTTGTGGAGGGGGCTGCTGTGGAGGGGGCTGTTGTGGAGGGGGCTGTTGTGGTGGGGGCTGTTGTGGAGGGGGCTGCTGTGGTGGGGGCTGTTGTTGAGGGGGCTGCTATGATGAGGGCTGCCGTCGATGGGGCTGCTGTTGATGGGGCTGCCAGATTGTGATATTATTTGCGTCATTACCCCCTCCCTCCCAAGTTTATCCTGATTGTGTTATCGGTTTCACGAGGAGACAAAGAGTCCATTCGGCAGGGCATTGTGAAACCCTTGCTGATAAAGATATCACTGGGCCACATCTGAGCTCGCAGCAAGTGACCTACAGCGAGGGAAAAAAAGTATTTGATCCCCTGCTGATTTTGTACGTTTGCCAACTGACAAAGAAATGATCAGTCTATAATTTTAATGGTAGGTTTATTTGAACAGTGAGAGACAGAATAACAACAACAAAATCCAGAAAAACGCTCGTCAAAATGTTATATATTGATTTTGCATTTTAATGAGGGAAATAAGTATTTGACCCCTCTGCAAAACATGACTTAGTTCTTGGTGGCAAAACCCTTGTTGGCAATAACAGAGGTCAGACGTTTCTTGTAGTTGGCCACGAGGTTTGGACACATCTCAGGAGGGATTTTGTCCCACTTCTCTTTGCAGATCTTCTCCAAGTCATTAAGGTTTCGAGGCTGACGTTTGGCAACTCGAACCTTCAGCTCCCTCCACAGATTTTCTATGGGATCAAGGTCTGGAGACTCGCTAGGCCACTCCAGGACCTTAATGTGCTTCTTCTTGAGCCACTCCTTTGTTGCCTTGGCCGTGTGTTTTGGGTCATTGTAATGCTGGAATACCCATCCACGACCCATTTTCAATGCCCTGGCTGAGGAAAGGAGGTTCTCACCCAAGATTTGACGGTACATGGCCCCGTCCATCGTCCCTTTGATGCAGTGAAGTTGTCCTGTCCCCTTAGCAGAAAAACACCCCCAAAGCATAATATTTCCACCTCCATGTTTGACGGTGGGGATGGTATTCTTGGGGTCATAGGCAGCATTCCTCCTCCTCCAAACACGACGAGTTGAGTTGATGCCAAAGAGCTCCATTTTGGTCTCATCTGACCACAACACTTTCACCCAGTTGTCCTCTGAATCATTCAGATGTTCATTGGCAAACTTCAGACGGGCATGTATATGTGCTTTCTTAAGCAGGGGGACCTTGTGGGCGCTGCAGGATTTTAGTCCTTCACGGCGTAGTGTTACCAATTGTTTTCTTGACTATGGTCCCAGCTGCCTTGAGATCATTGATAAGATCCTCCCGTGTAGTTCTGGGCTGATTCCTCACCGTTCTCATGATCATTGCAATTCCACGAGGTGAGATCTTGCATGGAGCCCCAGGCCGAGGGAGATTGACAGTTCTTTTGTGTTTCTTCCATTTTCGAATAATCGCACCAACTGTTGTCACCTTCTCACCAAGCTGCTTGGCAATGGTCTTGTAGCCCATTCCAGCCTTGTGTAGGTCTACAATCTTGTCCCTGACATCCTTGGAGAGCTCTTTGGTCTTGGCCATGGTGGAGAGTTTGGAATCTGATTGATTGCTTCTGTGGACAGGTGTCTTTTATACAAGTAACAAGTTGAGATTAGGAGCACTCCCTTTAAGAGTGTCCTCCTAATCTCAGCTCGTTACCTGTATAAAAGACACCTGTGAGCCAGAAATCTTTCTGATTGAGAGGGGGTCAAATACTTATTTCCCTCATTAAAATGCAAATCAATTTATAACATTTTTGACATGCGTTTTTCTGGATTTTGTGTTGTTGTTGTCTCTCACTGTTCAAATAAACCTACCATTAAAATTATAGACTGATCATTTCTTTGTCAGTGGGCAAACGTACAAAATCAGCAGGGGATCAAATACTTTTTTCCCTCACTGTATGCTGCACGCAATAGAAAGAGGCCGTCCAGTTGGCTTCCTCTTTGTGACCAAATGTAGCAGTGGAGTCCACACGATTTAAACACAACGGGTGTTTGTATTTTCCATTTTACTCACAGAACGCACATGTCAATAACAGTCGCTTGCATAAAAAAAGAAACTGATCAGTCTGGCAGCGACGGTTGCAGACAAGAATGATTAACAAAGACAATTACCCGTAATTTTCCACAACAGCGCAGATTGAGTTCTGTTTATTTTTATATCAAAGGGCTTTATTTTTTCATGAAGTGGGGGCCCGGTCGTTGAGGTGGAGTGTTCTGGCCAACACCGCAACGGCATCAGCATTTTGTAACACAAACCTGACGCTGCTGATGATACCCAGAATGTTGAAACGAGTGCAGAGTTTTGTTCGATTTTTAAATTGCTGCTGCTCGGGAAGGTCTCTCCGCGGGTTGATTGCTGAAACGTTTATTTGTTTTCTAATTTAATTCCCCGATGTGGGCGATCCGACCGAAATTATTAATTTCGACCACTTCCGGTCGGCTTCAGAGTGCCAAAGGGGCCGCACGTTGCATCGGCGTTGTGTCGCGTTTCAGCTACCACGGCTGTCCAAAGACGAAAGCCCAAGATGACGTTTCACTTTTCGGGGTCCGCATTCCACCGTTGACGCAATGGCCAAACGCATTTCGTCGAATAAATTAAGATGAGGAAGGAATAGAGCCCCCAAACACAAGCGACAGTAAATCTGCCGTGGCTGCTCTTGGCAGAGGCGGATAAACACGAGCTGGAAAAAATTTGAACACCGCCGTCATTTAACGATGTGTCCCACGGCATTATGAATGTAAAAAAAAAATAGTCTGAATATTACATAACGTAAAATTCACGCCACTCAAGCATCTGGATGAAAGCGTA